GCCTCTGAGGGGCGCGTGCTCTGGCTGTCATCTGAATAATGTGTATCACGTATTTTACCTAAATATTTCTGTATATTGTCACGATACCATCGGTATTTTTGATGGCTCTTTTACTTTCTGTGATTCTTCAGGACTAATCTTTGGAACAGTGTTGAATGTGTATTTTATTCTGTCTGTAAGGAGTGTCAGTTATGAACAAAAGAAAACTTGGAGTTTAAAGTGCCTAAGCAATGAGGGAAGATGGCAGCTAGAGCTTTGGCTTGCTCAGAAATACCTGTATGTCCTATGAAGCATCTCTGCTCCAAGGAAAGCTGAGCTCTCGTCTGGCTCATGCAGCAATAATGACTTTGTGGGAGCCTTTTCACTCCCCAGTAAATGTAAAAGAGCTGGCAGTATCAGATCACTACAACTCAGTACTGTTTTTTGGATGTGCCTTGTCTTGGCACCCTGACTGTATCATTCGTGGTGTGTTGCTGAAATGTAATTAGAGCGTGTGGTTCCTGCTCCCTTGTTTGAGGGTGGGAAAAGGAAGGCTTGCTTTGTAGCCCTTGTTGAAGGCTCTACAGAGGAGTTGCCTTTCTTTCTGTTTTCTCCCTGCTTTTCCTGGAAAAAGCTCGGTGGAGAGAAAAATGTGCCACATAACTGCAAACAAGTCACAAAAACAACTAGTGATAAGAGCAAAGAGTTGTGGACTGAGGTTTCCCCCCTGAAAAACTCAAGAGACAGTAATGTGTTCTTTGTTTCCTTCTATGCTAACTTATTGAGCAGAAAATTTCAGTAAGAAATATGCTTGAAGAAAGGAAAAAAAAAAAATAAATTCAGTATAACACATTTTTACATGCTCTTGCTTTTAATAAGCTTCCTCAAGAGGAAGAGGTGAAGTAACACTAAGCAATGGAGGTTAAGCTTTCTGCAGAATTTGTCCGTGAAGGCTTAGTTACTGACATAGCTTCTGAGATCAGGTTTCTCTTAAATGTTTAAGTAGGCTTTAGAACACAGAAAGCACCTGCTATTTTAAAAATGCTTTGCAGAGTGAAGTGGAAGTTGGATTTATCAATGAATATGGAAAAAATGAGGATGGGAGTTCAACGTTATCATGATGTAATAGTTTTTATAAATTGGTCTAAAATCGAACAGACAAGAAACACTGGGATGCCAAAGAACATTTACAGGAGAAAAATAAAGTTTCATTCACTAAAATATTGATAGTTAATAGAAGAAAATTCAAGATATCTTCCTGGTGACTGTTCAAGGCAGAAGGGCTTATAAGATGGAAACAAAAAAAGAAAAGTTTTAGTCTGTCATATTTTTGAATGTTACAACAACAGGAAAAGGTTATGGAGAAGCTGGTAGGAAAAACATTAAGGAAGATGGTAGTTTTGAAAGCAAATCCGATCTTTGGTTTTTTTTTAAAAATAAAGATGCAAACAAAACTCATCACAAAGGCTGTGCTGGGTTTTGGATCAGGTACTTGGAAAATAGAGTGAATATAGAATCTTACAAGTAATTTTGTTAATTATTATGATGGTGTTTAGTAAATTATGCATGCATATACTTTAAAATAATTTTAAATAATTGTAACTGAGTGGTGAGAATTGTTAAATACACGATGGTATAGAGGGTGTGATTGAGAGTAAAAGGAGAATGGAGAAGGGCACAGAGGACGGCGTTTGGGTATGTACGTTTAGGCATTTTCATTTAACTGGCTTAAAATCTGCTTGCTGTCTTCAAGCATAATGTACTCTGCTCCTTTACTAGTCTTGAGTAGAGTGTACTTTTTACTGTACAGGGATTTTTTTTAAAAAAAATATTTATAGTTTTATTATAGTATTATTTTTTGTTAACTTTTTAGTAAGCCAGTATAAAGCAGTGAACTTTTTAAAAATGATAAATTTACTAGTAGACTGTGAAGAAGTTTTTAAGGTGTGTTTGTTATAGCTGCTGATTTCTTTGTTCTTTCTGAAAGGAATCTGGAGTGGCAGTTGCCAATGCTTCATCTACTACGATATCCTTGTCTCAAAACAGACTGCACAGTATGAAATGTGGACCATCTAGTAAGTTATTTATATTTCTCTATGAAGTAACTTCAGTTGTCTGATACATTTTGCAGTATTATTTTTATTAAGAAAAATATCTAAGATAGTTAATACATGTCTTCAGGGTAAGTGATCTCCACCTTGTTTGGTCTCAAAGGACTACAGCCGCGTGACAGATTTTCATGGGGTTTGACCTAGCTTTAAGTTTGCACCTGGTTCATGTTTGAAAACTTAAGACTTTCTTGAACTGTAGTCTTCCTCACAAAGACCTTTCAGTGGGGCAGTGTGCTTGTAGGACATACCTATACTCTTAGCCATTGGCTTGTAGTGGTGGGCATTTGCCTGAGAAATCTGCACCTTGGCGTTTTTGGTTCATCTCATTTTCAACAGTGGACTGACTTAAATCTCTTTGCTCAAGGGTAAAGATCCTTTGTGTGAGCTCTTCTGTAGAGCCTGTGCCATGCTTCTCTTTTCGAAAGGAGAAATGAGACAAAGTAATTCAGAGTGATTTTAGTTACTGTTGTGAAACTCACCTAGTTTCTCCAGTCAGCCTGTCTGGGTTGCATTGGATGTGGGACCTATCTAATAGAGAATAATCTGGGTGTGCATCCCCTGGCTTTATAACACATAATTGCAAGACTGATGTTGGGCTGGACTCTCACCAATTGGAGATGACACAACCCTAGTCACAGAAGCTTTTAATTTCTTTAACACATACTGTTTTCAGCAGTTTTTGAAAAGTGTGTAGCTGAATGTGGAGGAATAATGGGAGGGTTTACAGAACCATAATATTACTCAAGAACTCTTACTTATGAATCTCTCCAGTATATGCAAAACACCAAGTAGAGCAAATTTATCGTAGGCTATATGCAAAGGAAACGACCTATACCAGTAAAACCTTCTGCTTTTCAGGGTTGCACCAGCTTATTGACCAAGTAGTTCTTTTCTTAGCTGTGCTTTTTTTTTTTTTTTTTTTCTTAAATCAAATAAAACAGCTTCCAAAGAGAAGATATGCAAATCATGCTGAAAAAATTTGTTGCTATAGTAATTGTTTGGTTTTTGGTAAATGGATATTCCTGTAACGGGACTAGAGGATTTCATTCTCTGCTTCAGAGCAACCAGATAGAAAAAAGATTTAAGATGCATTGTACTATTTCAACAGAAGTCTTGAAAAGGGGTTTGTGTACAAGTTTATTGCTTCTTAAATAGGCCTTATATTGAAGAAAGGGAAGAACAAATCTAGGAGGGAGAATGAAATGGGCAGCAAGTATTTTACGCTAACTGGTTGCATGACTAAGCTTTTAAAGGAAGATGTAATTCTTGCCATCCTAAGTACATTTCATTGCCCTTGACAGAGGTGATAGAATAAACTTCTTGTTTCTTTCTAACTCATATTTCTGTGGGGGAAAAAACGTGTTTCAGAAAGATATTCTCTTTCTGATGTACTTGCTTGGGAAAAACAATATTGTTGGAGACACACTTTAGCAACCGATTGATGGTTGCTCATATTTGAAGGCAAATAAAATGAGAATTATTGTGCTTTTTAAACAGTGGAATGCCTAGACATGGAAGTTTCTTTTTGAATCCCAGTAAACTCTGTGGGAATAGACTCCATTGTTGCCTGTGTGCAAAAGGCATAAAAACAAAAGAACCTGATCTGCTTTGTGCAAGAGTTTCAGTAACATGCTCTAAATGCTTAGAACAAGAGGGTTGTTTCGGCCCCTCCTATTTGAAGAGAGATGCAAGCTGCTTGATTGAATTGCACCAATCTGGGGATATATGAAATAATAAAGCTTTTTTTATTTTTTTTTTTCAAACCAGGGAAGTAGTTTATCAGCTGCTTTTTCTAGCTTAGTCATATCTCCATGAAAGTTATTCTATGAGACACTTAGAAAAATGTGATTATAATGGACCTATATTTGATCCTATTAGAGTCAATTCTTGTTGCAGTAAATATTTTCTTGCTTCCTATATCTACGTATGTAGATAAACCAACTTGTCTTACATGGAATTTTTGTATGATGGGTGCATGAATTATTGTGCAATAGATCTCTTTACCTTTGTTTTGCACGAGTCGACTGACAGCAGTGTAGAAAGTGATGTCATATGTGTCAATGAAACAAAAAAGTGGATACAGTACAAATAAATACCCAGAGATAAATTTGCATTAGTTTCATGTAGCCAGGAATACGGGATTTGAGTTTTGAAATATTTGTCAGAGTAATTGACAGCAGTTAGCATGTAGTTGACATAGCTGTTGAACTTGTAACTTTCTTCCAAGCCAGCCTGTTACTCATGTGGAGTTAAAAAAACAAACACCAAAAAAACCAACCAAACAAAAACCAACCCAAGACGGCTCAAACAAACTCCAGAGCTGATGCATATTAAGAACCTGGGTCAGGCAAAATGAATTATTTTTGGAAGTAAGTTTAAAACTAGTGCTGAAATTCTGTAACAGTTTAAGTAGTTCCTGTTTTCATGTGCTGCAGTGCTGTAGCAGGCACGAGTAATGTTCAAAGTCACTGTTACTATAGAAGATACTTGTGCCTTAACAGCCTGTGATTTCAAGAGATATACCACAGCAGAAAATCTGCAGCTAACTGGAAGGCTTTTGAAGGGGGGGGGGGGGGGGGGGG